AGGGGGACTAAAAGCGGGAGCGCGCCTGGTAAGGAGAAGGGAAGGGAGCGCGCTGATGGGGACGAGGGCGGGGTGGGGGTGCCCAGCCCAGCGGAAAAGCGGGGGTGAGGGGAGGTAGGAGAAGGGGACCTGGGCCCCTCCTTGGGGGCAGGGTGCTAGGGCTGCCAGGAGCCTGGGGGAAGGGGCGGGAAGAGGGGGCGAGCAGGACGCGGGACCCTCAGGGAGCCCCGCCCCGGGGTCAGGAAGGGGATCAGAGCCCCTCCAAGTGCCTGCTGCCCACGCTGCCCTCCCACCCAGGTCTGGGATAAGGCCAAGTGCACAGACCACCAAACTGAGGCCCAGAGAGTTCAAGGGGCTTTTCTAAGGTGTTAAGGGACAGGGGAGGCGCACTTGATCCCTAGGGACACAACCCATTTGGGACTCTGGAAGAGGAGGGGAGCCCGAGTCCTTGTCCTCAAAGCTCCTTGGCTGGCTGACCTGCACCCCTGTATTCTTGGCGCAAAAGGCCTCTGCACCCCCTGGGCTCAGGGCCGGTTACATAAAGGCACTTCATGTCGTCTTTGTCACCCCACCCTCCCTCCAGCCCTTGCAGGCAGGTCATCACTGGCCCTCCAGTGAAGCTGCTGTGCCTGGATGCAGATGAGTGGCCCTCTGCCCCTCTCAGGACAGTTGGAGGCAGCACTAGGGTTGAGATGTCCTCTGGCCCTCCCTGCCTGCCTCCCACCCCTGAGTCTTTGTCCTGCCTTTCAGCAATCAAACTCCAACCTGGAATCCCAGCTCAATGTCACCTTCCCTGACAGCCTCCCAGGGCTTCCTCACAAAACTGCTCACTTCCCTCTGTCCCCACCCCTGCCCTGAGCTGCACAGATCTGTCCTCAGCACCCCTGGCTCTAAACCCATCACCAAGAGCAGTAGGTATACAGAGTTGTTGGAGAGGGGCCCCAGCAAGTGAGCATGGGGCTGGTGGGGGGTGTCCCAGGAATGTGTGTTGCTTAACTGGGTAGCCTGCCACTCCCTGGATGCCCAGCGCCCCTTCTTCAAAGTCCCCACTGTCCCTCATGCTCCCAGTGGGGCAGCTATCTGCAGCCTGTGATGGAGACCAGAGAACTCTGTGGTGGAGTCCGTTTCCAGCCACAGTGGCCCTAAGTGACAAAGCAGACCTGCCCCACTGGGTTCCTGAGTCTGACGTTTATGTGAGTAGATCCACCCTCTGAGCAGACAGGTGTGTTCAAACTGGCAGCCTTTGCATTCGGAGCACTTAACCACTGTACCACTAGCCCCATTCTGTCAGTGGGAAGTGTCTTCTATGACACATTAGCTCACTGCAAGGTGCCAAGTGGTTTGACCTCGAGCTATGGACCCAGAAGGGAAGCACTGTGGTCGCCCTCCACACACCAGGAAGAATCTCTGATGCTCTGCCTGAGGGGCCCCCATCTGCCTGACCCCACAGCTCCCCCTCCCTCCCCTGTCCTGCTGTCCAGGGAAGCAGTCTGTAACATTCTTGTCTGACTTGCCCCCGTACACCCTAGCAGTTGGCAGAGACGTCCCCTGGCAGCTGGGGAGGAGGGCTGGACACCAGGAAGCTGACAGCAAAGCCACTGAATCTTCTGATCTGGGCCCTCCTCCTCACCGAGCCTTCCAAGAGGGCAGGTGCCCAGCGCTGTGAGTGCCCACGAGGGTCCTCCGGGGAGGATGCAGACAAATGTCTCCATGAGATGCTCAGGAAATTGTCCCCACCCACCCACCTGGCTGGCTGGGGAGCGGGGGACCCTGAGGTCTGCCACGTTCTCTGACAGCCTGGGCCCTTACCTCCCCTCTGGTCCATGGACACAGTAATAGCAGGAAAGAAGGTGAGCTTTCCGCAGTTCCTCTCACACTTGGGCTCCAGGGACCCTGAGTGTCCAGGGAGCACTGCAGTGTGCACGACAGCTCAGTGCAGGGACACCGCCTAGGACAAAGCCACTCCAGGCCAGTCCCACTGGCACCTCATTACAAGTACGTTTTCAGTCTTCAACATTTAAACAGAGGTTGAAACCGATGCTGGTCTCAGACCCGGATGAACCTTCTCAGGCCTAAAGTCGAGGAGACCTAAGGGCGCTCCCCAGCTGCAGTGCTGGCATCACCAGAACCTTCTCTGGGAGAGCTCCTGACTGTCATTCCCCACTGACCACCGAGACACAGTCTCTCAAGGTGCCCACCTGTGTCCCTCCCTCTCGGGAGCAGCCAGGTATTGCTCTGCCCTTTTATTATTAACTGGAGAAAGTCGGACACTCAGAGGACACGCAGATAGGGACCGGCCCTAGAGGAAGTTGTCCATTTGCACAGGACTATCACTTAAGCTCCCTTTAGGAAGGTATGCCTCCCAGGTGACCCCCACAGTGCCAAGGCTGGTACTATCTGAGTAATCCTGCACCAGGGGCCAGAGTGGCCTTGCTGAGCCTCTGCTCCCCTGCTGACCAGCTCTGATCCTGAGGCAGGTCGTGACAGGTACAGCGGGACACTGAGGGACCATCCTGTTCATGTGGTATACACCAGACTTGTTCACTGTGGTCCCTCAGAGCTACAGGGCGGAACAGTGGCCAAGCTGGCCCACAGCTCGTACCCAGCACCCTTCACAAACAATTCTCTGTGAGTCCCCTTAAAGCTACCTGGGGCCAGAGTTTGTCATGTAAGACAAACACCAAAAGATGGCACAAGCTCACCTGGAAATCAGTCATGATCACATCAGGGGACAAAGACACCGGGAACCTTGCCTCTGGTCCCAGCTCCTGGCAGGTGCTTCAGAAAATGGCATTTCAGACTTGAAGCTAAGCAGCCTAAACTCCCACCCCCATCCCCACCCCACCCCACACACACACACACTCCCTCAGGGCTAAGTGTAGACACAATTGAACATTCCATCCCAGCGACCCATGCCCTGGACTTCTATCTTCTGCTGCCTTGCTGGCCCTGTGAGCCCGTACCTTCTCCTTGGTATTTGGGGAAAGTCCAGCTCCCTTTTTCATAGATTCAAGTCGAGACCCTGGGATACTATTGCCTTGAGATAAACAAAACTAACTGCTGAAATCTTCTTAAAACCTGAGCAAACCCTTTGTCCTCCGGTAATTCCAACTCGTAACCATCCTAGAAGACAGAGTGGAAGCTGTCCAAGCTGCACTCTCTATGGAAGGAGACTGCCACGTTGTTCTTCCATGGAGCAGCTATTATGGGGTTTGAACAGCTGACCTTTGGGTCAGCAATATGGAGTGTTTAAGCACGTAAGGCACCATGAATTCCTGCCATGAGCATTATGCTCTTTTAAGATCTGTCTGTGTGGAATCAAAGCAAAAGTAGCAACTTGGAAAATCAGGTAGGAACCTAGAGAGGGATGGGTTTGGGTCAATGAAGGTGGAACAGGTCCGAAAAGGGAGTGGAAATGACAGCACAATCAGAAGAAAGCTGTCGATGTCTCAGGATTGCACATGCAGGAATAGTTAAAAGGCAGTATATTTGTTGTTTATATTCTCAACAACACAACAAAAACAAAAACCTCCTGAATTTGAAAGATGAAGACAGTCTAGTTCCTCCAACCAGGTCCCTCTTTTGAGAAGGAAGCCCACCTCTTCAGAATGAATGAAGCCTGAGACTGTATTGAACGCCTGCACCCCCTGGTGGTCCCATGAGGAAGTGCACTCCCCAAAGTACGTTGGTGTTGACCAATTGAGCAGGTTTCCACCCAAACAACAAAAACTCCTCCAAAGCCACTGCCTTCAAACTCCTCAAAGTCACTGTCTTCACGCCAGTTCAGACTCACCATAAACCTAGAGCGTAGAACTGCTTCAAAGGTTGTAAATCTTTATGGGCGCGGACGCCCTCCTATATGGATTTGAACCACCAATTTCTTCAGTTAGCAGCCCAACGCTCAACCTTCTACACCACCAGGGAGCCCCACATGTGTAACAGTGTCCTTGGAAAGTGGATTGGTCTTAAATAAATGAGACTGAAAACAAAATCTGGGAGAGGGGAAGGATGGAGAGGGAGGCAATGCGGGGGGCGGGGTAAAGGAGGATGAGAACAGATGAAGGACAAAGGTGAGGGGAAGGGAGAAGAAGACCTGGTGGGAACCTTTGAGAAAGAATCCGTCACTATTCTACAGTGACTTTATTCTTTCTTAGAAACCCTCAGGAAAAGTCCAGGATAATGACAAGAATTGGTACACCCAGGGGATTTGCTACCCCAAACACAGCCGGAGACAGAGAGTCCAATTCTTTCTCTGCTTCTACTTGCAGCCTTGTAACAGGTAGCTAATAGCAACTGTTCTCCTATTTTATTGAGGCCTGAGGAGGACAATAAAGATTTGCAAGAAAAGTCCTGAAAGTGTCCAGAGCTTTCAGATGGACCCATCACAAAAATGTCTTTCCCCTCTCCTCCTCAGAGTAGCTACCCTCCACCCCTGTCCTCCTGGGCTAGAAAGTTTTGTGCAATGGGAACCACCCAAGTCCTTGGTGCATTTCAGCCACACATCAAGTCATTGGTGCCTCTAGTGTTTTGTAAGATGCTTTGATTTGAA